TGCGGTGATAGTTGTGTGGACACAACCATCGGAAAGGGATGCAGAACAACGAGAATGTGTTTATCGCCGCTTTGGAGCCGTTAGCCATCGGTGGCGGACGAAGGAGTCAGAAGCGGCGCTCTTCGGTGACACCACTTAACCACCCGTTCATACCTTAAGAGCTATCACTCACTCATTGCTTGTGTTTTGTTTGTTTGGCCACAGATTCTGAAGACAATTGAACCGAATGGTAACGACGAGCGCAGAGCCTCCCGACGGATCAGTTGGGCTCCGACTTATCAATACAAGTATGTCATCGAGTCTTTGGCTCTCTCTCTCTCTCTCAGCCACAGATTCTGAAGACAATTGAACCGAATGGTAACGACGAGCGCAGAGCCTCCCGACGGATCAGTTGGGCTCCGACTTATCAATACAAGTATGTCATCGAGTCTTTGACTCTCTCTCTCTCTCTCTCTCTCTCTCTCTCGTGTTTATGTCTCACTCATGATCTCTGTGTCGATGTCTGTAGGGAACTGTTGGCCGACGGAACGGCTGTTATTAAGTGTCAAGAGTTGAATAGTCTTAAGACGGATGAGACACCTCCGGAGGCGCCGATCGCACCTCCAGTCGTTGACACGAATGTCATAAACAGTTCCGATTTCATCAACCGATTGAAAGCCAAGCAATCGTTGAGTCGATCGATAATCGAGGAGAAGGCCGAGGAAGAGGTGCCGCCGAAGAGGACCAAAAAGAACGGCAGTAAAGGTCTGCAGAAGTATCTCAACAAACACTACGACACCAAAGACGAGGACGACGTCGAGACTGTGTTCAACACATCGTATAACAAATACGGCCGACAAGTGGTGCCGCGAACGGATCAGTTGCAGGACTTCACGCAACTGTTCACCGACGACAACAACGCCATGAATGTGACGCTCGTTGAGTGCGAAGAGGTGACCGATCGGGTGGTGTCGGTGTCGGCGCACAACACCACCATTCGCCACGAGACCGACACTCAGGTGACCATTCACTTCAGCGATGAAGGGCTCGATATCACCGAATGTAAGTCATCTCAAGAGACAACGGATGCCATGAATATAACGGCTGTTGAGTCCGAAGAGGACACCAATCGGATGTCTTTGTGCGACACAACGTTTTTCGAGAGCAATGATAATCACGAAACCATTCACTTTGCGGATGAATGTCTCGATCTCACCGAATGTCTGTCATCTCAAGAGAAATCTAATGCCATGAATGTAACGACTGTTGGCGCCGAAGACAACTCCGATCGCATGTCTTTGTGTGAATCCATTAGTATGGAAGCGAATGCCAATCAGAATACCATTCACTTCACCGATGAGTGTCTCGATATCACTAAATGCCAGTCACCTCAAGAGACAACTGATGTCACAAATGTGACACTCGTTGAGTGCGAAGAAGTCACTGAACAGATGTCGTTGTGCGACACAACCATTCCTGAAGCGACTGATAATCAGAATACCATTCATTACACCAATGATTGCCTCGATATCACTGAATGCAAAGCATCTGAAAATGACATGTCTTTGGATTCAACGGCACCAGAAGTCGTCGTCAAAGAGAAAACTCTTCACTTTACAGATGAAGGTCTCGATGTGACTGAATGCAAGTCATCTGATGTGACAAATGTAATGACTGTTGAGTCCGAAGAGGACACCAATCGGATGTCTTTGTGCGACACAAACAGTATTGAAGTGAACGACAATCAGAATACTCTTCATTTTACCAACGATTGCCTCGATATCACTGAATGTAAATCATCTGAAGAAGCAAATAATGTCACAAATGTATCGACTGTTGAGTCTCAAGAGGTCTCCGATAGGATGTCTTTGTGCGACACAACCACTCGAAGTGAAGTGAATGATAATCAGAATACTATTCACTTTACCAACGATTGTCTCGATGTCACTGATTGTAAGTCTTCACGAGAGACGACTCAATGTTTGCCACTGAAACTCAATAAGAGTATCATTAAAAACACTGATTTGAACACAAAATCCAAGACTTTGTATGCATTGAGTAAACCACTGATAACTACGACTACGACTGCAGTTGACATGTCTTTGGATTCGATGGCTACAGAAGTTGTCGATAAAGAGAAAACCATTCACTTTACGGACCAATGTCTAGATGTGACTGAAGTGAAGTCATCTCAAGAGACGACTCAATGCGTGGCACAGAAACTCAATAAGAGTATCATAAAGAACACCGATTTGAACAACAGATCCAAAGCGTTGTATGCATTGAGTAAACCACTGATGACTACGACAACACCTAATCGTCAGTTGGAAATGACTGGTCGTCTGAATCTCACGAAAACTGTGTTTAAGACGTTTGGCTTCGATATGACCGACAGATTGAGGCAAAAGAGGAACGAGTTTGAGGCCAAACGCAGACAATCTGTGGTCACCACTGGCGTGAGGAATGAATTGGAGAGTAATCGCCGCCAAAGCGCTGTCACCACTGAAACGGTCGATGATATTGAAGCCACAGGTTCTCAAAGCGTTGTGTCCACTGTTCGGGATGAGGTAGAGGTGGAGCGCACACAACCTGTTGTGCCCACAGATATGGTGGCCGACAAAGATGTCGAGCGATCGCAATGTGTTGTGTCCACTGATATACACAATGAGATCGAGAATGAGGTCAATGATCATCACACTCTTGTGTCCAATAAAACTTACGATGATTTGGAGGCCAAACAGAGTTTGTCCGTCGATTTGTTTGGTTCTAAAAGTAATTTAGAAGACGAAGACATGGACATCGATGACATGAATGAAACCGTTGGCGACTCAACACTTCCTCGAAGTACTCAAGAATCAGCTGTCGATTCAAAGACTAACTCATACTCTGAGTCTAAAAGTGAATCAAATTGTGAATCTAAAAGAGATTCAAATTCTGAGACAAACATTGATTCAAACAGTGAATCCAAAAGCGATTCAAACACTGAATCCATGAGCGAAGAGTCGATGAGTGAAGAGAAGACTGGATCTAACTCTGAGATGAAGACCACAACAGCGGACGAGACATCAATGGACTCGAGTTCTTCGGTCGCATCCCTGTCCTCAACCAACACATCGCTGGTCCTGAACTCGACGTCTCCGCTGTCGATATCAGTGATCCACACGAGTGGCGACTATTTGGTGTCGAGTCCGACGACAATCGATCCGACGCTGAACTTCACGTTCAACGAGGACTCCAACTCTTCGGACACGGATTCGTTTGACCCGTTCATACACACGAACCGGTCGTTCCACACAAACACCACATTCTATGAGACTGCGAGTCCTTTGCAGCTCTCGTTTATGGTTAGGGACGACACGCTCTGCATATTAGCCGATGAGTTGGAACGACTGGTGGACGACATTGTTCTCCCCGAAGAGGACCAGAATCTGGTGATCCAACCAATGTCTTCGCAGGAGACGGAAGCGCCCGGAAGTCTGTTTAGTCCGTTGCGAGCACTGGACGCCAAACAGTTGGGACTCACGTACGAGACGCTCAACGACGACAAGTGTCTCATCAGCTATTTGTGGGGAACGTTCGCTCTGGAGATCCGCTTCGGCGATGTGGTGGACGACCCGAACACACCGTTCACTGTCCGACACATCAAAGCAATTAACATGAAGTCTCTGGTGAGCGCTGAGGAACCGCTGAAAATGAGACAAAAAGGACTTCTGTTGGGGTTTGACGAGTGCCACAAACCGTTGATAACGATAGCGCACGACCTGATCGTGTCGTCCTTCCAGACGGAGGAGCAGCACATCAAAAGCAAACACAAGACCAGCGCCTCATTGCATGAATTGGTGTCTCATATCTCGATGCGAGTCCACAGCGCGAAGAAGCTGTTGTCCGAACTGCGAATCATCGCCTCATCAGAGGTGTGCCGACTCTACCCCAAAGTGGACGACTGTTACCGGTATTTAGCCATTGATTTGATCCGCTATTTGTCTTAACATTTATTTAATCCTATGTTTTGTTTCTGTCCACAGACTTGTCGTTGAGGTACTTGCGCTCAGGAAACCAATTCAAGTGATTATTCCCATTAATCCGAAGTCATATCCGGATGAAGTGATTCACCCGAAGGTTAGGATTCCTAAAGAGGACAGACATCTCTATTGGTATGTATTTATTGATTGAATTGAAGAGTTTTCTATTCAAGTATTTTGTGATCAATTGTTTGACTCGTGTGTCTGTTTGTGTCCCAAAGTATGGGTCAATTCTCGGCGGCATTCCTGCGCATCGAGAGCCGCCAATACCGATACATTCAGCGCCTCATCAAAGGCGCCAAAGTCTTCATCAGAGCTAAGAAGCGCTTGATTTACGAAAAGCAACAGAATTTGCGCCAAAAGCAAGACATCCAAAACGCCAGACTCACCGACTCTATACTCATCGCAACTAAGAGTTAATTGACTCACAATTACTGTTTTAATCCATACATTCATTTATTTAATTTGCTGTAAATATCTATACGTTTACCGAAATATAACATTTAAAATAATTATCTAATTTTTAAATTCATTTATAAATCAACCAATAATTTACTACTATTAATTCATAAATAAATGTACACTTCTATACCATAACTCGATGTCTGAGCGCTATTTAATTAGCAAATTAATCAAGCTAAAAAGTTTATTAAAGTTTGGAAAGTGAATTACCGTAATTTAATTAGTGTTACGTTTTGTATGAATGGGTTGTGAACACTGTGTGCGGCGCGCATACGATTGGCTGACACGTGGGTCTGTGGGCGTGACTCACGACTGTTTGAAATGTTTGTTTGAAAATCATTTTCAGTTGTGTTTTGAAAACCCGTTTTGAATGCAATCGTAAACATTGACTCCAATTGTGATTCAATTGTCTGTTTAATTGCCACTCATTTGAGTCATTAGTTTCTGTGTTCACCCATCGATTGCCCGCGTATTTGGTCTCAAGAGGTGTGGATTAGTTTGCGGTGATAGTTGTGTGGACACAACCATCGGAAAGGGATGCAGAACAACGAGAACGACTCCTCACAGGTGTTGTCCACCGCTGGCGGCCGAAGAGCTCTTAAACAGCGCTCAACGGTAACCACCCGTTGATACCGAAAGAGCTATCACTCACTCATTGCTTGTGTTTTGTTTTGTTTGGCCACAGATTCTGAAGACAATTGAACCCAATTGTGGTAAACCGATGGCGAAGACAACCCGCGCCACGAAGTCTAACCCCAAAGCCAAACACGTGTCGAGTGCGGGAAGCGGTGGTCAGCCGAAGGACCAGAAGTCGGAAAAAGACAGCGAAAGCCAACCAAATGCAAGACCTGTGGCTAAAGTGGAGCCAAACCGGGAGTCAGACAATGATAACCACGCGGACAGTGTGGTGAAGCCGAAGACCCGTAACCCCAACAGCCCTCTCATCGCGCGCTTTGAGAGACCCGACCCTAAGAAGAGGTTCTACTTCTCGGAACAGCTCTTATATCCGGGCGGTAACGAAGAGTTCTGTTTCGAGGAGATTAGAGGCAGGAAATGGATGGCGAAGATGAAGGGCGAGGAGGAGGAGAGGCGTCGCGAAGAGGAAGCCCTGAAGAACGCCAAACTCGAGGAAGAGGTGGCGAACCTTCGCCTCCAAGTGCAGCAACTCTTGAGTTCTCAACAGATATCACGCCAACCGCCGAGGAATACTCAACAAACGGCGCCCACTATTGTAGCGAAACCCGCGCGACAACAGAAGCCCTCTAATACCGTTCCCACACCACTACCTGAGCCTAAACTCGTGACCCAAGACTCGCATTCACCGCTTCCGCCATACAGTGCGGGTTCGGAGTCGAGCGCCAACTCTCCCGACAACGCGAGTAAAGCGGCGCTAAGTATGATGAGAGACCTGTGGAACGGCACTCTCGCCACCACTGCCACCGATTTGGGACACAATAACACCAAACCCATCGACGAGAACCTTCAGAAAAAGGAGAACTTCTTGATCTACGCGGACACCACTCTGGGGTTCAAATCTGACGCCAAACCTCGTGAGTCCATAGCTTTCGACTACACGATAGCGCTGCCGAATAACGAAGACTCGTTCATCGCGAAGACCTCCTGTTCCTCGACACCAATGGCTGAGCGCATGAAGCGAATGAGTTTGAACGCCGACGCCCTCCAAGCCCTTCAGGCGAACGTGAATTTCGTGGGCGGACTGACCGCCAAACTGTCGCCAATCATAGAGACGAGTCGCGAGTATAACAGTAAGTCGTCATCTTCTTCGTCGGGAACGATGAGCACAACCGGCGGGGCGTCGGCTCTGAGTCGCCGTCAGCGGGCGCTGTCCGGCGCCGTCGAACCCGTGGATCCGTTCGACGCCTACCTATTGACACAACTGTTGCACTCATTGCCGGAGCCGATCGACGCGAGGAAAGGCTTGTTTCGAGTGAAGAAAGCGTTGCCTAAGATTAAGCCCAAACAGACGCTCGTGAAGTTGGGCGCCGACACCTATCTCGTGGACCGGCTGATAGCTACCGGCGCCTACGCCCAGGTATACGCCGCGCAGATCGAGGATACGGGCGATTCGGTGGACTCGGACGAGACGGGCGGCAGCACAGCGTTCAGTAAATTTATATCTCAAAAGTGGTTCGCTTTGAAAGTCGCCAAACAGGCCAACGAATGGGAGTTCTATGTCTGCGATGAACTCCAGAGACGGCTCAGCCGTTCCAAGTGTTTGCCTGATATTGTGAGTCATGTCTTGAGTTTGGTTTTTATGTAAACTTTTTCTGAAACTTTTTTTCCTTATGATCAGGAGTTGTCTGTAATGTCGACCAACCCGTCGGTGATGTTCAAAGACGGCTGTGTTTTGGTGGATGAGTTCGTGCCGAACGGCACTCTCATAGATGTGGTCAACGCATGCAAACTGCAGGACAAGCCGTTCCCCAAATCATTGATCGCATACTTTTCACTCGAATTGATACTTATTGTACAACAGATCCACAAAAATCTCATTATTCACGCCGACATCAAACCCGACAACATCTTAGTCTTGAATTTGTGAGTCTCTCTCTCTCTCTCTAACATAAGTTATAATTGTTTTGAACACCACTTCCTCTGCAGTCCTATTCGCGAAGACATTAATACTGTACTGAAGAGAACGACTTCATTAAAGCTCATAGACTTCGGGCGCGCCATTGACTTAAAACTGTTTCCCGAGGGAACGGTATTCAACGTAAACGTCAAAACGAAAGGCTCGCAATGCTGTGAAATGTTGGACTCAAAGCCGTGGACTTTTCAGGTGTGAATGCATTGATTGAAACCCAAGTCTATAAACGAGACAATAATCTAATGTTTTGATTACAGACCGATTGGTTCGGAGTATTGGATTGCATTCATGTCATGCTATTCGGGGATTACATAAAAGTGCGCAAAAATCAAGTGAACAACAGCTGGGAAATCGTCGAGAAGTTTAAACGCTATCACATGAGCGACTTGTGGGCCCCTCTGTTCAACACACTGTTGAATATCCCGAGTTGTGAACAAATACCCGATTTGTCGCCATTTGTGGATCAACTCAACGAATATATCAAACAAAATGTCAATCAAATCGTGAGAGACGGCAATGATTTGGAAGTGTTGTGCGATTCGGTGCATAAAAAGTCGAAAAAATAATTCAATGAATGTCTCATTTGTTTGACATGTAATCACTCACTCATCGCTCAGTATTTGAATTTAATTTTTAAACCAACGATTCGCTTAAAATATTATATTACTTAATATTGAACTCATTTTATTGCATACAGTACACAATATTTATTTTTGAATTAATTTCTACATATTTTTTGAATTCAATAAATTGAAATAATTCTTTGATATCTGTATTTTTATTTTGTGTTTAAATAAGTATACAAAATACAGTATTTTCAAATGAATAGGTTTATAAGAGTTACAAACATTTATTGGAAAATATAAATAATACTAATTTGTGCTTGTATATTTAATATAGCCTACAGTATTTTCCATAAAGAATTTTATAAATGCATTATTCTGTAAAAGTCTGACCCATAACAATTTTATTAGTAAAATAAATAAAATGTAAATATTGGTGCAAATTATAACTAGTTTTACTTGATATATTACGATTAATTTACTTCTAATAATATCATATACTTTACTGTACTTATAGGATGTGTTTTGAGTAAATTTCTTAATAATCACAAATTACTTTGTAATCCAAAGTGATTTCGGAGAATACCGTATAGTATACTGTACCACACTATTCAAGTATTGTCTTTAGTGTTGTCCAGTAAACCAATTTTAATCTAGGTTCAATTCTTTTTGTATTATGGTATACACAATTTCATATGGAATAGGATTAAAGTTATCATTTCCAGAATCTAACTATAAAAAGTTATTTACCGGTAAAAACATTGCTATACATTCATCATACGGTACTATACAAACTATGGCTATATAACTGTAATATGATAGTATTCGTTTAGTTATGTTTATCTCATATTATCTAATGTTACTCGTTCATACAGTAGTACAACATCAAATAAACTGCATAACAGTAATGACCAGACTCCATTCTAGTATCAGGGGTTATAAGGCTATCGATTCATATGAATTCCATAGACCTAATCATTAGGTCCTAATGCTAAGCTCGAGCCTCAAGTTAGGGGTAAATAACATTTCGCAATACTAACTGTAAAACCAAGTCTGACCGGGCTCACGTTTTATGAGCCCTCCCGCTAGTCCAGTCTCAATATACCCTCTCGGGGACCCCCTCGGGCTTCACTACTGTATATACTATACACTACAACAGCGTTGAACAGAATATTCATTGATTCTTGTAATATCACTGATATGTTTGATATAAATATAGGGAAAAGTTTATGATATGTTTGTGTGATGTATGAACAGAACGAACACAGATGCAAACAAATAAACATTTTAAAGTCTATAAAAGAGATACATCCTAAGCATTGTCGCAGTTTTCTCTCACAATATGAAGTCTTACTTACGATTAATTTTTAATATAATTATTCATTCAATAAGTAAAATGTGTTTCAAAGCATATAAAAATCAACAAAAGGGTATGCAATATAACTTTTTATAAGTGCAAAAGTGTGCTTGTATATAGGCATTGAAGTTTTAATTTTATTTTCAATTTTAATTTAAATTCTATAGGATATAAGCGCGAGATAGAGGTGCTATCCATTACACCATTGATTGATAAAGATATGGATCAAGTGATTATAGATATGGATAATCTTCTATTGGATAATGAAGTGGTGGGTCAGCCCTCAGCCCAGCCCTGTAATAATGAGGT